GAAACTGTCAGCATCTTAGACCAAGCTAAATCCAAAAATGCAAGGGAATTCTTGGAAGCTTGGTATTCAGACAAGGTAGCCATCAACAGGCACAGAGAGATAAACAACACCTACACAAAAGAGACAATAGAAAGGAAAACAAAAAAACAGAACATCTCACCAGCAATCACCACCCAGATAAGCAGAGATTAACACCAAGATTACCACCAGACATACAAGCAGTAAACAATACCCTAATCAAGGAACTACCAGAAGAAAAAATAGAACAAAACAAAACCCCCACCAACACTGGCAGGGCATGCCATAGTATACAAACTGAGAGCAAACCCCATTCCGTTCTAGCACTGAAGATGTTACCTAGGTGGGTAATGAAACATTTGCAAGAAAACAACCAAGCTCAGAGAACCCCAAGGACTCCACAACACAAGTTGTGTCTGTTATTTATACTATACGACTTACAGTAACTCCTTTCACAGCTTTGGGGAATTCCTGATGAAGTCTTATCAAACACCAAAGAAAATGATCAGTTTTCCTGCTATTTCAGCAGATGCCAGCTTTGGTCTGAAATTAGCCCACAATCAAGTCCACCTGGATGAGTAAAGTACCAGTAACCTAGGAGCAACCCAGCAGCCCTGAGATTTCAGTGAGGTGACACAGCTGCAGAAGGGGGTAATCCTGTCCATGACATCATTTTTTGTGTTCCACAACATTGTCACTGGTTACACAGAATGCTGCTTTTGCCACTCTGTGACGTTTGCCTATAATCTAAAGTTCCCCATCTGTAGAAAAGGTGTTTATGATATCCTGTTTCAGTATTCTATAGGTAGAAATTTAATGTCTTAATAACTAGAATGACTTCTTTTGCTGGGAGTCTATTGCTTAACTCCTTTCTTCCCCCTCCCCCAATCAATACCACTAGCTTTTCTTAGCAGTTGAGAAAAAAATGATGGAAACTGTAGTTGCCTTCTGATTGCCAACCACAAGCATATGGCAAAAATGCCTAGGCATGCATGCAAATGTCTTGGTTCTGATGTACTGTACGAGGGCAACTGAACGCCCTAATTGAAGGTTCTATAAACCAGCAGATCAAATGCTATTTCACAATCACTTGTGACATTTTGGTTAGTCCTAATAAAAATATCAACAAGATATGGAATTAGATCCCACCCCCAAATTACATATCATGGCAATGACTATCTTTTCGAAATAGGCTAAGCTTTAAAATCTCACAATGGAACTATTCACCTACTCAGAAAACTATTTCAATATCAGTGACCTTAAACACCTTCAAAAAAATATCATGCTTCTACAACCCCTGTATCCAACCCTGATCATCTTAGATCTCCAATTTCCAACATTCTTGACTCCATGGAAAAAATGGGACTTTAGTCTCTCTCTCCTTTATTTGCTATGTGTCTAAGATCTAACCCAGGCAGTCATTCAGACATGGGGAAGTATTTCACAGTTAATGGAACATGCAGTTCAGGGTTTTGTGTTTTTTTATTCTTTGTGTTTTGCACACATCCCTTATCGGGCAGGTTACAATTACAATAAGTATTTTATACTCTACTGGTTGTACTCAAATATGGTACAAAATTATTAGATTACACTGGACAGTAAAAAATTAACAGACCTATTCATATATTAAAACAGCTTTCTTCTCATCACAGGATGACTACTGCTAGGCATGTGTTCCTATTCAGAATTAAATTGCCAGTTCCTAGAAAATCCATTCTATCAGCTATTAACTACCAAGATGAAATCTAAGGTTCTACAGTGGCTAGGTTCCCCCATCCCTTATTATTAATGTTAGTGAATGAACCCATTTCTGGGCATTCCTAATATACCAAATCAGGAACTAGAGCACGTACCATATTAAGCACAAAAGAACAGACCACAGCCACCATGTTTTATGAAGGCAACCAGGATGGAGTCTAGAGGTATAACATACAGAATGAGGGTTTTTATTATGCTACATGAGTTTATCAGCAAACTAATATTTATTAAGGCTGTGCTGAGATCAGGATTCAAAGGACAAAATATGATTCTGAATGAGCATGGAGACATGGGCAGCCCCTCTTGGGAACACCTTAAA